CTTTTGCTTAGGCTGGTCTCAAAATGCTGAGCTTAAGCGATCCTCCTGCCTTGGCCTCCCAGAGTGCTAGGATTACAGGCATGAGCCTCTATGCCTGGCTAAGCATGTATTCTATAAAAGACAATGAATAAAACTTTTTAGGGGATACAAAAAAATAACACATCCTTAACCCTCAGCAAGGTTGTAAGTTAGTGAGGAAAACATGTCACTCAGTGTACATAGTAATAAAAGTTTAAAACAAGTAAGAAGGTAAAGCCTTACAAATGCATTTTTAACTGCATCTGTTAATGGTAAAGGGAAATATGTTTTCAAATTCTATCAAGTTGGTTAAGGTAGTAAAAACTAATTTTAAAAGATAATGTTAACCTTTCAGATGCTTGTTGTTTCCTATAGAAAGTAGCAGTGCTCCCCAGATGAGACTAGGAGTCATGTGAGAGTCGTGTTAAAATGCATATTCTGGATATGTAGGTCTAAAGTGAGACCTAAGAATCTGTTTCTAACAGCTCCAGAAAAGGCAGGTGCTTCTGGTCTATGCACTTCAAGTAGCAAGATTGTAGTGGAAATAACACCACATTTGGCTTCTCTAAAAGGTGTATCTTGTATTAATATCTTGTAAGGTTACATGACCTTTGTCATGGTTACCTGACCTTTGTCTTTTTTTCCTCACCCAACTCTTTATCTTTGCCTTTAGCACGAAAGCAGGAGATTATCAAAGTCACTGAACAACTGATTGAAGCCATCAACAATGGGGACTTCGAGGCTTACACGTGAGTAGAGGACATTTATTTTGCTTCCATGCTTAACGCAAACGTATTTTCTATATGAATGCATTCTTCAGTGTATCTGAATGCATGTGTATTTAACCCCAGGTTTGATATATCAACAATACTTTCATTCAAGGTATAAGTGATTAAGTGTCCCCAGGAGAGTAATGAATATATTTAAGATTTCAGAGAGTAAAGACCTGACTTTGCATCCAAGGACTGGCGATTTCTTTGCAGATATGCAGACGTATAATTCCAGCAGGTCCAGATGGGAGAAGGGCATTCCAGGAAGAGCAATCCATGAAAACAAAAACACAAGAAGCAGGAAAGCACGCAAAATGTGCATTTGGCTTAGGAAATGTTTCCTTTCACAGTTCTGCAGAGGTGCTGGGATAGAGAAAGAGGTCAGGAGACAACATCAGACGATGCCTTCTTTCTTCAACCAGTACAGCTCAGCTTCCCCTACGCCTGTTTGATGTGTCTGTCACTTAAGGAAAAAATTTATTTGAAGAAGTGGTTCTCATGCTTCATTTAAAGTTTATGAACTACTGGATCATAAGAAATAGAAAGGAAATGATTTTGCTCTAGTCAAAAGAAAACATTCAGTTTAAAAAGGGAATGAAGGCATCCTGCACAGAGTATATGGGTCAATTAAGTTAGCTATTCAGAGATAAAGTCCGTCTAAGTCTTTTCTTTTACTATACCACGGAATGAGTTCCACCTGAGTGAAAGAGTTAAATCCAAAAAGAGATTGAATCTGATCTCTGGCTATAAAAAATCTCTCTACATTTATTATTTTATTTATTTTTATTTAATTAATTAATTTGTTTATTGAAATATGGTCTCTCTTCGTTGCTGGGCTAGTGTGTAGTGGCATCATCACAGCTCACTGTAACCTCAAAGTAGACTCAAGGGCTCCTTCTGCCTTCACCTCTCCAGTAGCTGGGACTATAGGCATGTACCACCACACGGGGCTAGTTTTTCAATTTTTTGTAGAGATGAAGGTCTGGCTGTGTTGTTCAGACTGATCATCCTGACCTCAAAGGATCATCCTGCCTCAGCTGTCCAAAATGCTAAGATTGTAAGCATGAGCCCCACACCCAACAGATCTTCTCTCTAAGCTTAAAACAAAAGAAGTAATCATAAATAAATAAGATAAAATGATTTCTCTACCTAAGTAGATAAAACCTATATACTTTAATTAAAATGCCCGAATTAAAATTGAGACAAACAAATTTAGAAAAATATTTGCAAGACGTGTGTCAAAAATTAATTTTTTCATATTCAGTGGAGAAAACTGAACAGTAGGAAAAACAGGTAAATGATATAAACTGACGATTAGCAGAAGAGAAAATATTAAAAGATAAGTAAACTAATAGAAACATGTTTATGTTTACTAATTAAGTACATGTAAATGTGAATACAAGAGCATTTTCTACCTCTAAGGCCAGCAGGGATATAAACTCCACTCTGCTGGCATAGAATGTAGAGGTTAAACAAAGCTTTTGAAAGTTCACATTATATAACTTCTCATCATATGACCTTAAGGTTATTAACGTGGTCATCTCCTTGGTAATTAAAAACTCAGATTGGCTGCCTTAGATTTTTTTATTAAAAACTTAAATCAACTGATTTAAGTTTTGCCTAGGTACCCGTAGCATAGTGGTTACTGTGCCAGCCACACACATCAAGGCTGTGGGTTCGAAACTGGCCCAGTCTACCTAAACAACAATGACAACTTCAACAAAAAATAGCCAGGCATTTTGGTGGACGCCTGTAGTCCCAGCTACTTGGGAAGCTGAGGCAAGAGAATCGCTTAACCCCAAGGGTTTGAGGTTGCTGTGAGCTATGATTCCATGGCACTCTACTGAGGGCAACATAGTGAGACTCTGTCTCAAAAAAAAAAAAAAAAAGTGAAGGAAGAAATAAATTAACTGATTTAGTTTTAAGCATTCTTTCAAAGGGGTTCTGGGTGAACAGAATGGGAACTATTCTATTTGATACTTAGTGGAAATTTTTTGAATTAATGTATGTGCTAGTTCTGTTATTTTCCTTATTAAATTCAAAAGGTTTTTGTCTAAATAAATAAATAAACTGCTGACAATCAGTGAAGCACTGATTCAGCAAAACAATTACTTTTCTGCACCGTGGCATGGAGCATAAATGGGTACAAACTTTCAGGATGGTGGTGGCGGCAGGATAGAGGGAGTTAGCCATTATATACCAGAGAGCTTCCATAAAGATTCACTTTAGGGTGGTGCCTGTGGCTCAGGGAGCAGGGCGCCGGCCCCATATGCCAGAAGTGGTGGTTTCAAACCCAGCCCTGGCCAAAAACGGCAAAAAAAAAAAAGATTCACTTTAAATCCTATAATTCTACTTAGAAGAATTTATTGTTACATAAATTTTTATTTTAACCTTTTTTAATCTAAAACATGAAAAAATTGTGAACAAAGATACATACTGAAGCAATATTCATAATAGTGAAAAATTGGAAATGACATTTATGTCCAACATTATGGTAGCCGTTATGTGACCTTTAGTGCTGTTAGTACAAAGGTTATGTAGAGTTTCTACAACATGTGATGCTTTTGCTGAAAATTAAGCACACTATAAAAAAAGTGTATACACAGTTATGCCAGTTACATAAGAAAAAAGTATTAAAAGTGGAATGAGGCTCGGTGCCTGTGGCTCAAGTGGCTAAGGTGCCAGTCATGTACACCCAAGGTGGCGGGTTCAAATCCAGCCTGGCTGCCAAACAACAATGACGGCTGCAACCAGAAAATAGCTGGGCATTGTGGCGGGTGCCTGTTGTCCCAGCTATTCAGGAGCCTGAGGCAGGAGACTCGCTTGAGCCCAGGAGTTGGAGGTTGCTGTGAGCTGTGATGCCATGGCACTCTACCCAGGGAGACAGCTTGAGGCTCCTGTCTCAAAAAAAAAAAAAAAAAAAAAAAAGTGGAATGAAATATACAAATTGATTTCTAAAAAGAAAAAAGAAAGAAATTGCTTCTGAGTGATTACATTATGTGTGAATTTTTCCTGCTTCTTTTTTATTCTTTTCAAATTGTATATAATCAGGTATTACTTTCATCATTAGTTGCAAATATATAGCCCAATATAAAACACGGAAGCCAATAACTAAATGTAAGAATTAAATCCAAGAAGTAGTTCTTATAAATTAAATATGCGTATGTGCTTACGTACATATAAACACACAAACACATGCATATACATGCATATCTATATATGTATCAGTTTTTTCACGTGACCTATAAAATATATTTAGAATAAAGAAATAATTTAAAAATTCCGTTTAAAAGAACAGTCTTTGTTGTCAGAGAAAACAGTTTCCTATTAACTGGTTGTTATAACTGGGCTATGGAAGCTGCTCTCTTTTATTATTTTTGCTATTATAACTTTGTTAGATACATGATTGTCCAAAGAGTAAGAATAGTCTTTCTAAAACATCTTCTTTTGCAATAGCATTCCCCTGTGGAATGGTGAAAAGTTGTACTTTATTGTTGGTTTTGGTTAGGAACAGGGAGGAATTGTAGCCAGGCAAAAGTGGGGTGTTTCACAATGCAAGATTAGTGATCCCATCAGTTCACTAATTTACTTGCTTTTGAAGGTCTATAATCTGGCCTGATTTTGTATTTTCAGGCCCCAGGATAATCTAATAGGCTTCCATTTGGGAGCCTTTTGGATGGTAGAATGTGCTGGTGTAGCTTTGTCAGCCTGTTCTTGGAACACTTGTTCTGAACACACACCCACAGGACTAGGGGCAGCTACATGAATCTTTTATTAATCCAAAGCCTGTCACACAGGAGATAGATAGATAGATAGATACATAGATAGATAGATACATAGATACATAGATACATAGATAGATACATAGGAAGGGTAGTGAAAGAAAGAATAGATCGACAAGGTTTAAAGTAAATTGACCCTTTTTACAGCTGGATAATAAAATCTATTATAGCACAGTGATTCTCCAATGGTGTTAGCGTGGATGTAAGGTAGCAAGAAATTTGAGTTTACAGATATTGACAACCAAAAGCCATGATTTTAGAGGAAATAATAGCCCCTGACAGAATAAATTCCTGTTACCATAGGAACACTTTTCTTTCCATTTTGTTCCTTAGAAAGAGATTATATACTTATATTTGATTTTAAGCTTTAAAACAGCCACCCAGCAGCCAGATTGAGCTGAAGTTTATGATCCCTACCCCACCTCCTGCCTTTAAGACTTTCCTTATTACGGAGAACAACCACAGTGATTTCTCCTTTAAAAGTATTCTTTAAAAAACACCAATTCCACATTCTATGAACAATTCTGTTCTTTGAAGAACTATAGTGATTTCCACTCTTAAAATCTGTATTTCTGTTGAGCAGGTAAGAAATCAAATGGAGAATTTCCATATGAAATTAAATGTGGCCCCATTTACTGTATTATCCTTTGGGGCAAATTAATAAACAGTCCCTTTAAAATTTTATGACGTAGGGCAGCATCTGTGGCTCAAAGGAATAGGGTGCCGGCCCCATATACCAGAGGTGGTGGATTCAAACCCAGCCCTGGCCAAAAAAAAAAATCTTATGATGTATACTCCTTTTATCTACCTACGAACTCCCACTAATTCTTCAAATCCAGAGTTTGTCACCTTCTCTGAGAAGCCTACCTGATCACTACAGGCCAAAGTAAAACTTCGCCATTTCCAGGGGTCTTTCCTATCTAGCCCAGGAACCTCTGTGTCAAACAAACCACTATTCTCCAGGCGTACCCTGCATTTTCCCAGGAATGTATGGTAACCCCTACACTTGCCTGCCACCCTCCTCCTGCTGACACCTTCCACAGGCTCATGGAAAATGCTGACTCATTCTTACAGGCTCAACTCAAATTTTCTTTCTCTTTTAAATCTTTCCCATTCACTGTTGATAAGTAATTAATTTTTAAGCACTGTGCGTTGGTTTCTATTCTCGTATTAATTATTGTGTTATAATTGCTTGTTTTGAAGAATATCTGCTCCAGAGTAGGTGTTTAATGATTGTTTGCTAAATAAATTTCTCCAGATAAAGCGAATGGGCTTTCTCAGAATGTTGAAAATCGTGTATCCGTTTGTTGAATCACACTTTTAGGATTAAGAAGAAAACTAACATTGCATTTGAACCTTCTGTTAATTTCATTTTAAAAGACACAGCTTAATTAAGTCTTGGGGACATTGCCAGGAACTTGCCTCCTTCAAGTCAAATTATAATATAGATGTTACATGAACAGTAGGAGGTATGCAAATTAAAAATTATTCCAAAGGTATTTAATTTCAGAACCAAAGACAGCTTTTTTAGGATTTGGGAAGTGTCTTAGACTTGGACTTTAGGACTCGGAGAACATTTCAAAGAGTAACCTAGGTCAAAAGTTAGAAAAATTGGTAAAACTGGGAAAATTCCCCTAGGAAATGAAAAAGTAGAAATTATAAAAAGGAGACTTTTCAACTGTTGGAGATTATCATTTGCTTGAACCTGTTAAATTAGTTTGCCTCTATCAGAGTTCTTTGCAAAATGCCTTTTAGAGTCCACTCCTCACCCACCTTCTCCATGTCTAGTATAAAAATTATATAATGTTTCTTGGGAGGCTCTTTCCTTCGCTGACTGATAAATAAAAATGTCTGCACAACAAACATCAGAATGTATGAAAGCATTTATTTACTGGTTATTTTGGTTACTTTTCTTTCTACAGAAAAATCTGTGACCCAGGCCTTACTGCTTTTGAACCTGAAGCTTTGGGTAATTTAGTGGAAGGGATGGACTTTCACCGATTCTACTTTGAAAATGGTACATTTATTCTTAATTGAATAACATGCCTTTTCCAACTTCTCTTTGAATCTTTCCCAATTTTCAGATTCTTTTGGTCTTTTCTATGATGAGAATTTTTACCTTTGTCCAACATTTTCCACCATATGACTTTTTATATTTGAAATTGAAAAAAAAAATGACAGGCTTAAAAGTTTTACTGTGCTTTAAAAAATATGTGACTTAGTACAAAAAGTAATGCTGATTAAATACACTCCATGTATGTCCCAGTGAGTATATAATATAAGCTGTAAAATGAGTTCCCCAAAGCCATTATGTCAAGTTTTCATGAAGCTATTTATATATGAAAAAATAAAAGCATGCCAGAATATTCAACATGGAAGAAGAATTCAGTGTTTATTTTCCAAGTCAAATGAAAGTGAAGAGGAGTAATCATAGATTTCAAATCAAATTGCAAGAATTTTAGTGATCTCAGAGGAAACAGTCACATTTCAGAGAAGGTGATGAAAGAAGTTCCTCCTGCACACATGCCTGGGATCACTGAGAAAGTGAAAACCAGAATTCCCTTTATCCTTTTCCTTTTCCTCACATCTAATGACAGACATTATGTTGTGTTTCCATATTGCCTAGAGCGAGTTCACTTTCTTTGCAGAGAGATCTTGTTGAGTTAAAAAGGAATTGTGCTAATAATTAGGATTACCAAGCTCATTTTCAATAATTATAAGTATGTAGAAGAATGCTTATCTGTGCCTTGGCCTGGGTTTTTAAGTTGAGATATATTGAATGAAATTACTTTTTCTTATATGCACTAGACACTTACAAGGAAGTCTTTAATAAGTTCACTTTAACAAAACTTGAGTAATTGTTCTCACCATCTGTGTCCCAGCACTCTGATTGGTAGCAACTCATGTTTCCCCCACCTGACTCTCCATCAACACTATCTCATCTCTAATAATAGAATTAATTAACTTATTAATATTTGAACCTATTTCAGTATAACACTATACTTCATTGCATTTCATGAATATGTATTCTTCTTAATGGGGTCTTCCTTTGTGTGGTTATAATATTTCGAGTAAATTTAAATCGGTATTTTCCGAGAATGGGACGCGTGCTTGGATAACAGCTTAATCTGCTGTAGTGATCCAGGAGGAAAACATCACCAATAAAAGTGTGTCCTTGTGGAGACTAAATAATTAAATTAGGTAGCTACTGTCAAAACACCAGAGGCTGGAGCCGAGTGAGGGCCACTCAGTCATAGGGAAGAGAGAGGATCAGAACCAGGCTGTGTACCCAATGCCAAATCTGAGACTTTTAAATCAAATGCTCACAACCACACTATCATGGAATGAACTCTACTGCATGGAGGACTCACAGGATGAGATGCAAAAACCAATTCCCACTGCCACCAGCCTTTTTTAGAGATAGCGATCTCCATGCTTGATGCTTAATAGATTTCATTGTCCTATGTGCTTCACCAACTAACAAAAACGAACACCACCATGAGATCTGACAACTGTCCTAGCAGTTCACTCACTGAAGGCAGGAACCACCTGGTGCACCTGCCAGGCCCTCTCCACCTCTATTCATGTCATGGCTTCTGTTTCCAACCACTTCCCATTATAAATAAATACATCTCTCTAGCTTTTTACCCTCAGTTAATCAACATTTCTAGAGTAGCACACAAATTGCCTGTAAAGGGAATCAGAGAAAATAAAGACTGTCTCCACTTTTTCTTTTTCTCTTACAATCATTTGTTAGTGGAAATAGTGAGTAGATTAATTAATTAGCAAATGAATAGCGTTTCATTCCACTGAAGTTATTACCTGTTTGGATTTACACGGAAACTAAATTTTGCTTTTCATGTTCTTTTTCAGCTTTGTCCAAAAGCAATAAACCGATCCACACTATTATCCTGAACCCTCATGTACACCTGGTAGGGGACGATGCTGCCTGCATAGCGTACATTAGGCTCACGCAGTACATGGATGGCAGTGGAATGCCAAAGACAATGCAGTCGGAAGAGACCCGCGTGTGGCACCGCCGGGACGGAAAGTGGCAGAATGTTCATTTTCATCGCTCGGGGTCACCAACAGTACCCATCAAGTAAATATTTCCAAGCTGTCAACTTCTTTGTTAATACACCCTGGTCAGCTCCTTCTACTTGTTCCGTTGTTAATAGCACGGTGTATGTTATTTAAATGTTAGTGGTTTGTTCCATTGATGGAAATAAATGCTCTGTAGGAAAAGTCTACAACACTCTGGAAAGAACGATCAGACCAGCCATCTGTGGGTTGAAACTTGCCATGGTGCAGCCTATGACTCTTTTAAATAGAAACCAGAGGCCACCTGGTTTCAAGATGATCTCTCCCAGGGTTAAATCAGGGAGAGTCATGTAATAAGACAAAATATTTGTTACTTGGTTTTCACAATTGACAGAGGAAGTGGATGTAGGAGGAGTTTCTAAAATGGACAGCATATTTCTGGGAGCTCCATTTCATAGGTTATCCATGGAGCTCAGTCACAGATACTATGAAAAATTTATAAAAGACAGCTCTTAAAAAGGAAATATGAAGATATGACAGAGTCCTTCTCACCTCACCACTCTACTCAGATGTTGTGTTTTCTCTTCCAGTCAATAATTAGACAAATATTTATTACCCATCTTCTAGGTGCTTAGCCCATGCCAGATTCAATGGTAGTAAAAGACATTACCCCGAAGGAGCATTTATTCTTGTTTAGAATGCAGCTAATCATTTATTGCAAAGGAAAAATAAAACAACCTGATAAAGTTCACGATCAGCTTCAGAGTAGAGTGGGATGAATGACCAATGTAGTACACTTTATGTGTGAAATAGAATTTTTAGACAAAGTCTTCAATGATGAATGGAATTTGAAGACAGAAAGATAGAAAAAAAAAATAGAAAGACGATTATCAAGGAAGAAATAGGAAGACGAAACTCAAGGAGAATCATGAAGACAGGTATAGTAGCAGGATGTTAGCTGAATGCAATAGAACATTCTAGGTGAGGAAAGCTGGCTTCAACTAGAACAAAGGAAAATGATGGAGAATATTGCATCCATAAAGTCAGGTGAGATGACAGGAGAGGGGAGTATAGATTGTGTCAGTAGAACTTTGGCCCACGGCTGATTTCTTTCCAAATTCTCTCACCAGGATTGCCTGTTAACATCTGGGATATGGAATGGGGGACTCAACTTCACATAAAAGAAACAGCCATTCAACTCACTCCAGAGAATCCATAGGATTTCCTAGTTTGATAACATACCACAGTGGTTTTCAGAGACTTCCTCTGTAGCCTTAAGAATTATATATCACTGTTAGACTTGGGAAAAGTGAGTCAACAAGGACAAAAACCAAACCAAAACAAAGAAAAACTAGATTGAAATTCATCCCCCAAAAAATAGCTATGAAATTAAGAGAAAGACACAAAAGGAAGATAACCAAGGCACCAGTTTTTGTGTGCTCGTTTTGTTTTTTACCCCAAAGAGGTCCAGCACGAATTGCCAATTAATATAGAAAAAACTATGTTCATGCAGTACGAGGGGGGAGGGGGGACGTTTTTCTGTAGTTCCCTGAAGTGTTTATGGGATAGAGCCTATTTAAGAAAACTTCCTTTTGTGCCAGGTGGCTTAAGCGGGGCTTCTCTTAATAGGCCACCTTGTATTCCAAATGGGAAAGAAAACTTCTCAGGAGGCACCTCTTTGTGGCAAAACATCTAAGGCCTGAAAACCATTCACATATGGGTCTTGTAAGTAACACTGCTCCGTGATACTTTGTGATTGGAGCTAACGATTGAAAAGCTGCATGGCTGTTTTTTCTTCCTTTTGAGGATATTTTCATATTTTCTCTTGCATTATACACAATGAAAAACACTCAAGGTCTTTGAAAACTCCAAGCAATTTTGCATGAATTCTCAAGACTAATCTTCAGTCCCATTTTGCTATATGGCCCCTATTTTAAAGATAATAAACACTGAGAAGAACTTTTTTTTAATGTAAGAACTGTGTCATTTTAGAATCTTGGCGTCCTCACATCAAAAGTAAATTATATCTGGGCTCATTCAGACAACTCTTAATTATCCAGACCTAATTTATATTAAGCTTTACGATCCTTTGGTATCTTACTGTTTTTTAAGAGGTTACTACAATTCCTAGAAGCAGTTGGCTAAGGTTAATATGCAAATTAATCTGCTATGCCTGACTGGGTATAATGGTACTTGGCCATGAGGACGGCCATAGGAAGAAGTCAAGCTGAAATTTAAAATTCGCAAAGTGGGTATTCCAGAGGATAATTGAAAATTGACTGTAATTAACTTCATGCCTGTGTTGTTTTAATGATTTATTTCTTAAACTTGGCTTACAAGAATTCAGATATGTGTGGGGCTGTTGTGACTATCTGCCCCATTCAAAGCACTGAACCTTGTCAGAGCTGCGGAGAAACAGCCCCCAGATGTTGCTTTAAAGAAAGGATTAAATACGAATAATCCGGTTTTCTCTACTTTCAATGCTATATTTCTTATTAAATTGACTTCAAGTTTTAATTCCCCAAGGAATCTAAATAATGACAAAAGCTAAGGGTGAATTTGAACTTTGAATCTATTTCAATTTGACCAAATGATAATATTCATGTATTAATTTGTCTAGCAACTAAGAACGTTTCAAAGGTATATTTAGATTTAATAATGTGATTGAAGCCTGTGTCCCTGTCTCTTTATTTGTAGCTTAGCTTTGTGTGAACAAATATATAATTAATGCTGACTTCCTATTTTAATATCGTCTTTGTCTAACATTGTGTATTTTTTCTTGTAACGATTGCTAGCAAAGATCTCCTATATGCAGTGTGTTCAATCTATTCGTTACCTGAGTTATAAAAATGTAGCCTAGTCACAAGCATCGCAAAGCAATTTGATATGTTATGAAAACAATATAATTTATTTCTCCCCCTCCCCTTTTTCCTTTCAGCTAAATATCAACAGTGCCACTTCTGCATTCTCATTCTCAAGGCACCTGGATGGTGACCCTGGGCCGTCCTCTCCTCCTCTTCATGCATGTTTCTGAGTGCATGAAGTTGTGAAGGTCCTACGTGTAATGCATATGTGATGCATCATCTTATCATATATTCCTTCCTATACATTGTTTACACTTCAACTACGGGGATGTTCCATGCAATTAAATTACTGTTGGCAAACAATAGGGGGAGGTCAGACAAAAAAAAAAAAAAATCCCACAATGTTCCTAGTACAACTATTCATCAAGTTTCTCTGTTTATGCCAAGACTTAACAGACTTAAAAACTATTGTTTTCTGAATGACAGTTTGTAAGAGAAATGTAAATTTTTTAGAACTCTTTGCTGTTAATCTGTTTTGGCTTGTTTGTTTAAAAAAAAAAAAAAGAAAAAGGCAAAAAAATATATACCTTCAGTTTCCTGGTGTGATCCTGGTTGAAATGGATGATTCTTCATTGAAAGCTATGCTGTTTACCAGTTGAATTGGGGTAATAGGTGGGCAAAATCCCCTATGAATGTAGAAACAAGAATCCGTTGGTTTGCCAGATATCATCTAAAGCCATGCTGTGTTTGGTCCAACTATGTAAACTGGAAAAATTCACATCATTTGCAAGTTTGATCACTTATGATATACTCACACTGTTTGGTGAATTTTCTGCATTGAATATTTTTTTCTTTCTCAAATCTGTGTTCTGTTTTCTTTATATCCTATTTCTTTGTTGCTTTTGTTTCTTTTACTTTTCTTTCCTTTTTCATTTTTCTTTCTTTCTTTTTTTTTTTTGGACTGGTAGTATGTACAAAAACATGAAAAGTGAAATTTGCATAATGAAGGTAAAATAAAAATCAAGGCCTTTGGGGAGTAGCTAAACTAGCACTTTTAACTATCTTCAGGGCCCACAAAAATCTTTTCAAGATTTTAAAGGCTTTTAATTCTGCTTAGGCTCTAGTTTGGACTTCAGTGTCCTAATTAGGACGGAAGTATCCGAATTGTTTAAACTTAGTGGTGAGAGCAGATACCCTAAGCATTACTCCGGTAACTGCAATTGATGGGCACAGTTGCCAGGGACTGCTAAGTTAGTTGGAGCAGGGTTTGGGGCACGTGCACTGCACCCGCCTTGTGACGGCCACACTCCTCCCTCCGCCCCCCACCATCACTAGCTACTTTTCTAAAGTTAGAGAAGCTTATGAATGTTTTCCTTCCTCATAAGTGTTTTGAACTTGATCTTTGTGACTTGTGCTTTTTTAGCTTCTCTCTTGAGTCAGAGTATCATTATCTTTCCTCCGAGGAGTTAGGATTTTCCAGTTTAAAACCAAAAGAAAAGGGAAATGTCCTGGGTTTTCTCTGTGCTCTCATTTCTTTGTCGATTGAATTCCTGTGAGGCTTTTTCTCCTCCCTGAGATGCTTTATAGTGCATGGAACCTCCATCAGCGTTATTTTAATGATAGTAATTCACAGTCTTAGAAGCCTATTTTTAAAGCAGAAGCAAAAAACAAAACAACAAAAAGCAGCCCTCCCTCCTCTCTCCCATCTCACCTTTCTGTGTTGATTACCGATCACCTTAGGTATTATCGCTAGTGGATGTATGATAGATGGGTCGAAGCTTTTCTGATACTTATCACACAATTTAAAACAATATATATTTAAAATAAATATATACAGTAAATGTATTGAGCCATGTTAACCTGCCAATGAGATCTGTGAAAAAGCAATGGCCTCACTCTTCCCTTCTTCATTTCTTTTACCTTTTTGTGAAGCGGCTATACGTGGCATACATGTATTTTAAAATAAGTAGGTGTAGAGTGGTTTCTTTTTTCTTTTTTTTTAACACATTGAACTTAGCATGTGGTGTTGAAGTATTACCGTAGATCAAGTTTGTCTTCCGCACTAAGACGTGAGGAAATTGTGATTAGTTCTCTCCACCACAGTTGAATTACACCTTTATTATCTTATATCATTTTGAAACACTGCAGTTTACCATGGGACACTGTATATATTTCTTGCCATAATGGTAAATGACTGATTGATATATTTAAGAGTTAATAAATTTGTGATTTCTGCTGACAATGAGTCCATCTTTATTTCTTAAGAGGAGGTGCTATATTTCTGCGTGCGTGGTGCTGGCCAGTGCCAAGGGCAGCGTATCCTTCTACGGTCTCCTTTCGTACGTAACAGTT